AAGTCCATACTTACAGACTTACTTGGAAAGTCATGATGACTTTCAGAAAAATATAAATGCAGACAAAGTATATTCTATATATTATTGACCAGAAGTAAATTCTTTTTCTCAAGATACAGAAAGGATATTTAAAAATTTGTGAAACATTATGGTATGGTGTAATATTTTTCAAAAAGATTGGTTTTTTTTTCCTTTGCAGAATATCATTTTTTCTCTAAAGTAGTGATTTTGCACAAGATTTACTAGTTGTCAGTTCCACCTACATTATATGTACTAATATAGAGAGGCTCTATAAGGAATTTTAAAGATAACAAATATGCTTTATTCTACAGGATTAAAATAATTTTCTAGAAATTAGTTAATATCTCCCCAAATTAAACATATGTATTAATTTCAAAACTGCTTTATTTAGATGGTTTATTTATTAAAATGAATAACAACTATATCAATTTAAAATATTTTAAATTCATTTTTTATTTATCAAATGTTGAGGAAGAAGTTCAGTAATCAGTTTGTAAAATACTAAAAATCCCCCTTTTTACCCAAATCTGTGTTTATAAAATTTATTGATCTGTGACAATTTTACAACTCTGAGTGTTATTTTCAAGGATCATATTACATACTCATATTGTCCTCTCTATGAATCCATGGATTGGGATTGTATATACATAAATTAAGGGTAATTTGTTAAAGAAATAATAATTTTGATATCTTCGTTAGTAGAACTAAAGGTAGTTAAAGCTCTCAATAGGGGATTTTTTTAAAGAAAACTCCCCTACCAGAGTTACCCACACATTTCTTTTAAATATGACAATCCACTTTGCATTGATCATAGGCTTTATTAAGAAGACTGTTGACTTCAACACTAAAAATATCCCAAAGAATTTCTGATCATTCTAGAGAATCCCTGAGCAATCATTTTTCTAGCACTTAAACTGATCATATGCCATTAGATAGTTGAGGTTGAGGTAGGCAGAGGTGAGGGAATTCACATTTCCTGAGCAACCACTATGGACCCAAACTTCTTTTAGGCACTTTACATATATTACCATGTTTAGTATTCATAATCAGTCCATGATGAAGCAATTATTATCTCCTGATTACAGAGGAGGAGGCTGAGGCTCAGGAAGGTGGGTAATTTGACAGGGGCCATATACCTGGTAAGAAATATTAGAAATTTATAATTTAGGGCTTTTGATTTTAATGTCTATATTATTCCATTATGCCATATTGCTTCCCAGAGAGTACAATTGCTGCTTCATTAATTTAGGGATTATTTTCAAATGAATTGTCTACAAGTACTTGGCCAATTATTTTCCTCCTATGAAATTAACTTAAAATTTACAGATGTGTGGTTCAAATTCTTCATCCTTTGATATTTATCAAGAATTTGACAAAGTAAACTGAAAAAAATTACTGAAAAATCTTCATGAATGGGGCCCAAAAACATTCAAGAAATGCTTTGCACTTGTAGCTTGTAGCTTAAGTCATATTTAGGAAGGGCTGGACTGACCCTCAGAGCCAGATGTTTCTACTCTCTGGTCTCCCTTCCTAACCTCTTTTCTTCTTCTTCTTTTTAATGGTTTGGTATATTAGAGATGAAGTAGTTCCTTGATCTCTGCCCATTTATCCAGTATCTGGAAAACTCTGAGTTAGAACTATAATTTGCTTTCTTCCTGTCAGCGGAAATGAAACCGTAAATATATGGGCATTTTATCTACTATCTATACAGAGTTCTGCTGCTTTGATCCTGCTCCCTTCCCAAATCAGATTCCAGAATTGTCTCTAATTCTAGCTTTATGCTTCTCAGAGGGTGCTGTGCTTTTTCTTTTCAAACGTATAAAATCTTTTGGTATTTTTCCACTCATGTTTAGAATTCTGACTTTGATTTTGACATTCACATTTTCTAAATTTTAATGTAAGAACTTTCTGCCATACTTTGTTCCTCATTTAAGATTTGTTGCAAAATTCTAATTAACAGATTGAACAACAAAAGAACCCACTGAACACCCACTAGGTTTTCTTTTCTTTTTTTTTTGAAGGGGGAAAACATTCTATAAAAAAACACCGAACACTATAAGACACACGCTGATGAACACCTACTGCTTAATGAAATTCATCACCAGCTAAATTCAGTTCCTTCTTCCCCACTTCATCGCCTCTTCCCCCTACACACGCACGCACACACACACAAAAACACACACATGCCCTCAAAAGACCAGTTGTAATAGCATACACACCATAATATATATTTTTAAAAGAGGGTTTGTAAAACTGGAAATCTTCGTGTTTCAAATAGATGAGATGATAATTTCTTGAGTGTTTGACTTCTATTTTGTTGTATTAATCAAAAGGTTGCTCTGTTTGTGCCATTACAAGGCTCATTTAAAATATTATTTATTTCTAGAAGTTCTAAAAGTATAACATGCTAACATTTTTTATCATAGACTTTTTAGAAACAGATTTTTTTTCCCCCAGCAAATTAACTAGTAATAACTGGAGTTAAGCCCAAAGTGCACTAAGTAAAGATTTATGATTGTCTGCACATAACAGCAATGTTGAGTGAAGTGTTTTCTTTTAACCAAAAGTATATGACGGGTAGTTTTCAGTCATTTTGTAACTTAAGTTCTAGAAGACATCACTTTAGGTTATACTTAGTATAAGTGTAAGAATGAAGAAACACTTGCTTATACATAATTTCTTAGAGTTTCAGGGGAAAAAATGTCCCGTGATTTTTAAATAAGTAAGGTTTAGCCCATAAAGAGGATAGGACTTTCTTATCTTCTATTCAGTTAACAGGTTTTAACAGTTTTCTGAATACTTATGAGTAGCTCAGAAATTCATATAAGTTCATGTAATTCACACAGCATCTGTTGTGAAAAAATAAAGTGATAATTTACATCCAATTAAAATATTTTTCATTAGATAAAATGCTTTAATAAACTAACAAACTTATATAAGAAAATAGTATTCACTGGGAATAAAACAAGTCAATTTTCTATAGAACATACAAAAAAATCAAAGATTGGTCAACTGGAAAAGGAGTAAGAGTCAGTCTTTATGTAAAATTTTAATACATTAACTACTTAAAAAAAATAGTGTGTCCTAATGCCTTACAATTTATGTAAGTTATTTGAAAGCATATTTACTCATGAGGTGAATCCTTATTAAACTGCTAAAAATATATATCTATAAACCCTCTCATATCTACTATAGAAGTGGAAATTTCAGGAGTGCTTCTTATACATGATTGCCCTTCTGTCTTTTAATCTAGCCAATTATATTCTATTACACGGGACTATATGTAGCCCTGGCTTAAAATGAAGTTAAAGGTTGTTTTTTATTAATTTCTTTTTTATGATATAAGGGTTCTTTACCTTTAGAAATAAGCTTATATATAATTTGGCAGGCAGTTATGCAAATGCATTCTGTTAGGGCAGATTCCAATGGTAAAACATAAAATAAACTTAAGAGAAAAGGGGGAGTCAAGGAAAGAGAAAGTTAGTGGGTCTTGATTTTTTTTCTGTACTTTAAATATTTTTAGGCCTCTTTACCACTGCTGTTAGGTCATTTCTGTTAGCTATACTAAAGAGCCTTTGTCAGTCTGGAGGAGGCAGCCATGTGTCCATGAATGCTTATTTAGTACAGTGAGGACAGATGGCCTGGAATTGCTGAAGAAGACCTTAAGATATATTTTTAAAAGGAAAGGGAAAGAAACAATAAGGGAGGAAATAAATTAGAGAAGAGGCAAATGTGTGGCCAGGAAAAGTGTGCACACGAACACACGCACACAGGCACACACACACACACACACACACACACACACACAGGCATACACACACACACAGACACACACAGGCACACACACACAGACAGGCGCACATGCACACACACACACATAGGCACACAGGCACACACAGGCACACAGACACAGACACACACACACAGGCACACAGACAGGCACACACACACACACAACTACACACACATACATAGGCACACACACACATAGGCACACACACAGGCACACATGCACACAGGCACACACAGGCACACACACAGACACAGGCACACATAGGCACACACACACAGAGACATACACAGGCACACAGGCACACACACAGGCGCGCGCACACACACACACACACACACACACAGGCACAAGCACACACACATGCCTACAAATAAAGGCAAACTATAAAGTAGTAAGTAGGACCTGATGTATTTACAGATTTACTTTTTCTGTAGAAACTTTAATTTTCATTGTTGTTGATTTGTTATCTTTTTAGCAGAAACTTTACAATCACAGCCACTTCTGGTCTGGGTTTATATATGATACACCTTTTTTTTCTGGTTGATATATAATACACCTTTTGTTTCTTATAGCATCCAAACTTGAAATATGAACTTTGATTCATAAAAGCTCAAGGAATTTCTTTAAATAATACTAACCCCTGACTCTGTAAGAGTCAATGCTCTTAACACAATTTTTTTAGAGTCTACCATAATGAATTTATCTTGCTTAACATTTTGTTTCAGTTTTTCCCTCTTATTTTAAGAAAACATACACACTATTGCCCAATCAAAAACTCATGAAAGATTATTTTATGTGTATTAGAAATGGGAGAGGAAGTGAGGGTGGAGAATGGCTGGGCATGGGGACATCAGTGGATATTATTGTGTTTGCAAGTAGAAAGACTTTGTGAGATGTGCAATGATAAAAAGTGACATTGGTGGATTTTTATTATGTATTTTTTCTTTCCAAGTTATCAAATTAACATTTTTTCCATTTTCTTCATATTTATTCTATTTCAACCATGCTTTGACTATGCCAGGTAACAGAGAACTGTTGCTTCAATTGCCAGATTTTATGTTGCTCATAAAACAAATATTAGATTCCAAATTTCTTCTTATTGCCTTCTGAGTTGTCATGGTTATCAAGCGACACCTTCTCTGAATTCTCTCTCATTTTAACTCTTTTCCATGCTTTGTATAAATAGGTTGCTTGGAAATCAAGAGAAAAACAAACCATCAAGTTTGGGTGCTATAAGAAGCAAGCAACACAAGAAAGAAAAAGAAAGATTTCGTTAACCACAAAGTGAAATTGGAAAGATTTTATCCAGAAGCATTAACTGTCATTAAATATAAGCAGTCTGAAAAATACCTGCTTTATACAACGGTGCTGTGAACAAGCTCCGGGTGACTTGCTGCCTGTTAAGTGTGTGACTCTTGCATTGTGGTTAGAGCTCTTCTGCAACACCCCACCCCACCCCCAACACACACACACCCACCAACCACCACCACTACCAGCCATGAAACAGGCAGCAAGGATGCTGGGTCATTCTAAGGTAAATATAAAAAATATTTTTTTGGATACAAGCACCGTTTAAAAATAGAAAGGCGAGAAGATTCATAAACAGAACCTTTGAAATTGTACAATACTTTTGTCCTACAAAAACATCTGTTGCTCAGATGAGTGTTTGGAACACTGAGTGCTTTAGATTACCCCTTAGAAGGTGTGTTGGGTGGTGGCTCTCTGTGGACTTGGCCCCAAGGGAGGTCAGCCTGACTCCCCAGCCTGTTAGCTCAGCAATTTCCCAGTGGTCAGCCCGTCTTGCCATAATCATATGCTGGCGCCTCAAGCCTGTTTCTTAACTGTACTATGTACCTTCTAATGAAAGCATCCCAAAATATCCCCAACCGCTCAAATTCTGGGGCAGCAGTGACCTCAGACTGGACTGCTGGACACACTGCATTTGCTCAGACAGAATGGCTGACAAAAATCTCCCTGCCACGATGACTAAAATGTTCACTGTCTCTCTGCTAGTTTTTGTCGCTTCATAACTTCTGATTACTTGCAAGAATTCCAGAAGCTTCGACATACAGCTGATTAGGAAGCTGTAATTCAACACACGACACTGCAATTTCATATGACTCGGAGCCTTTACAACAATGAAAATAAGAAATAAGAAAAAAAAGAATTATAAAATAACTTTTTGTGCTTAAAGCAACAAATACAACAATAATAGCAACAAAAAATAATGTGTGAAAATCAAAAGAAATAAAGTTATTTTAAAAATGTAGTTTACCCCCTACATGAATGGGAAATGATATTATTATGATTTTTTCTAAGGGAGCATTCCTGATAGTAACTAATTTATGGAGGAGCTACACTAAAGTGGCTGTGGATGAACACGTGCTATTGGATTTCACTACAGCCTTTTAGGTAAACTTTCAGAAGCTTTAAGGATAATAAAACAAAAAGGGGGGGCACATTTTATGAAAAGTTCAAATGGAATACCAAGCAAATAACTAAAAGAGGCTGTGTTTAAATTCAACAGGTGTTCCTCTGGGCATTTCATCTTGTCAAGCCTTTGTGTGATAAAGGTAACCCAGGATCTTGTCGAATGTGGCCTGAACAGAAAGAAATATATTTTAACAATCTGTTAATGAAATACGCAAAAAATAAAACTTAAGATAGAAACCAGAGTGATCCCGATTGTTATTTTGCCATGTTTTATATGCATTTTGAAAGCATTGAAGCCTCTTCAAAATAATGCTCGTAGACTTACAGTACAAGTCACACAACCTGATTCTTAAAAGGACCTTTTGTACTTTGATAAAATCAGCTAGAGCATGTTTGAACTAGCCTCCTAGTCTTAAAGCTTTTATTTTTTTCAGGAAATAAAAAATTACTTATAAAAAAGGGTAATACAAAATATACTGACATGGTTTTGTAAAAAATACAAAGCATTATCATTTATATGATAGTGACTTTTTCCCTACAAGTATGCTTTGAAAACATGATTGAATGAGAAGAAAAAGTCTTTTCTTATCTCAGCTCTCGTAAGCTTTACTATTTAAGCTACACTTGCTTGTAAGTATAACAGAATTAAAACACATCAGGATATTGTACAGCAAGTAACTAATAAGGCACTCTTAGGATTTTCATATGCATTTAAGTACACGTTGGCAAAAGTAATTTCTCTATTACTTAATTAAAAATTATAATATTAAAGGCCCAAATTCTGATTTAGCATTTCTATACCTAACCATTTCCTTATAAGATTCATAGATTTCAAATCTATACACCTCACTTTGCTGAGAGTCAGTAACATTTTCTTAATGTATGCATATTTATATACAGTATACAAATATACATATGTATATATACAGATTATATATTATACATAGATTATATATTATATATACCATTGTATATGTCTTCTTATATATGGGTAATAATTATAGTCCACTTCCTACAACTAAAAAAGAAAGCACAAATCGCTTTAACCTAAGAACTCCCTGGATCTTTGGCTACTGTGTTATTATTTTTCTTTCTCCCCTGGGGGAGACGGGTGGCGTAAAACAGCTAGAGTTGCAAGCAGTGTTGAAAACAAGTGAAAGTCAATTTACCTTGCTAATTTTTCATATGCTTCTTTCTTTAACCGCAGAACTCTCTTTTTTTCCTTTTTTCCAGAGTCACTTAATTTTTTTTTTCCTTTTTTTGCAATTCTATTTTTCCCCCTAGAAAGTAACCCCTTGTGTCCTACCTTAGTCTCCTCACTGAATGATCTTTTTCTTCTAATTATATTTCTTCATCTTGGGAGGAACTCACACTGCTTCAGGATAAGCAACCCAGAACAGCCTAAGGTCAAGTGTGCCCTAGAATCTGAATCTAGAAATAACAATCATGGCATAAGAGCAGAGAGGGAAAGAAGAGGCAGAAGAGGGAATTTGTAACGCTATTAAGGCTCATTCTGAAGAATAATTAATTGAACAGCACCCTGTGTTACATCATTTTCTTGAAATCTCAGAGGACAGACTAAAGAATTTAGGAAGCTGATCTGAAATCTGCTTCCTAAACCATGGGGTTAACAAATTAGTTGTACCATGGTCAAGCCTCAGAGTTTTATTTCCTAAGTATTTCCTGTTTTAGTGTTCAAAAACCAGTTCTGTTCACAAACCAGCAGAACACAAAGAATGTCAATGCCATGTTACACATTAAAGAAACTCGAATTTAAGACATCTGAAAAAGAGGAAATACTTAATTTGATAGCTGGCTTTTATTCCTGTTAAAAATGGAGTTCAATGAAGGAGCTAATGGGGGGTCAGCAAAAGAGATTTCTAAGATAATTCTTGAAGTAAAAGGCACTCGTATTTATCACTCATACTTCAGGAGAAGTATGGGGACATTTGTGAAATACAAACACTTCAGGTAGAGGAATTGTAGGTAGAAAAGGGAGAAACAGTAGCAGAGCTTTTAAACCAAATCTTCAGCTGGGCTTTTGTTTAACACATATGCAAATGTGTGCACTGCTTCATTTGAATATTTATTTACTGCATTTGTGAAGGAAATTGGGGGATTATAGCCTCTTCCCAGCTGTGTTTTAGTTAATGACTGGTCAGCCCATTAGCCTGCTCCACTAAACGGATTCTCTGCACAAGCAACACCTTTTTTTTACCCCACTAGAAATTCTTCATATAAACAACAGTGGGGGGAATACAGCAAACCTGATCTACAGAGAGCTGTGTACCAAAACTGAAAATATTCCCCAGAATCATTAGAAATAAACAAGAAAGTTACTTAATGATGGTGACCTTTGCATTTCTATAATAAAGCAAACATCTACTATCAGATATTGTGGTGAAAAAGGGGAAATAACTGATCAAAATTTCTCTTTACTGAGAACTAATTCAGAATGCTGTTCTAAGTGGCCACTCGCCTCCTTCCCCAGTACTTGCCTCCTCTTGTCCCCTATGATTATAAACACACACATCAATGGAAATGTTGTGAATCGCTTGGGCAATATTAATATTTTACAAATTTATGGACATGTGAATTTCACAGTTTCCCCATATCTTCTTACTGTCAAAACAAACAAAAAAAAGGAACAAAAAAACATAGAAAAAACAACAGAGAAAGAGAAAGGGTAAATAACATTTCGTTAGCAATTAAAACCAGTGTACCGTCATTGCTCAAACCAACTTATTTAGAGTTAACAATGCTAGTTATGAGATTAAAGACTTGCACCATGAAAAGCTCATTTCTAAGGATTAATGGTGAGCAAGTCTTTAGGGCATAAAGCTCTAATACATACCCTTTCAATTTTTATTTACTATAGATCCACTCTTCTGGGGAAGAACATGCACTATTCTAATACAGTCAAAATTGACCCATGAAAATGAATGAACTAAATTCTTATCATCAAAATTCTGAAATTTTCTGTCTGTGTGTAAGAAAAGCCTGGCCTTTGGTTTGTCTTATTGGTGAGGCTATCTTTACAGAATAAATGTAAATTACTTATTTATCAAAAATGTTAATATTTCAGATAATTTATGTAAACCACTTATTTGTGCTTGATTATGTATGAAGCATTGCTGAGCATAAATAGACAACACAGAACCTCAGAACTTCTTGGACATGAGGAACTGTTCCTAAAGCAAAGGGATCATTTCTCTCAGTTGGAACAATTGAGTATCATACATTAGACTGGTAACTCAAATATTTACAGAACGAAAACAAATAATGAAGGAAGAGATGCTATCAGACCTCAAGGAAAGCAAAGAAGTAATAATTATGTCAATGAAAGAATTCTACAATATTACAAGAATTCTACCTAAGAAACCTAATTTAGCTACTTCATTGCTAAGATCACGTTAGTTCTGCCCATGATACTTAAAACCATTCCTAACAGCAGAAAGAAGCTTCAGGTGTACATTTCATGCCATACTTCAGTATCAGACGTGAATGGTGCGCACATGTCAATGGCATCATTTTCCTCCCTTCATATATGTTTCCAAACCATCTCAGAAGCTCGTCAGGCATATTTCTTGTTCATTCCTTCTGTGGGGCAGAGGCAGACAGATTGCTGGATCAGATAGTGCAATACGCTGTATACTGCATTTCAAATGTGCCTTTTTTTAAAGCAGCAGATTTATTGATTTTCTTAAGTAGAAAATATGCACCCGGACATTAGACAAACACAGACTAAACACAGACTGAGGAAAAGCTGATAATTTGATTAAACTGACTGAGCTTTTGTTGTCTGTGTTTGGGGAATTTCCAATAATGCACAAGTGCCAAGCTCCCCTCTTCTTCTGAATTTAACAAATGTAATCCCGAAGCACAATGAATTTTGCAATTATCCTGTATTTGGAGAATTCTTTTTCTTTAGAAAAATCTACTGATGAACACATATATTGCTTTGAGACGAAGGTGGGGTGAAAATCATGCCTTGCTCACAATATAGGACTTTACTCAGAAGGGGGTAAGTATTGACTAGGCAAAAAACATT